ATTCGTGCTGTAAAAATATAGTCACAGTTACTATATTATTATACTGTGGCCTGTAGTGCTCTCAAAAGCTTTAACATTAACCTTGCAGAAACACCTTTTGTGCTGCAAGTATGATCTCAGGCAGAAGACATTAGCACTGGGAATAAAATAAAGGTATTGACATTTTGTGCTAAGCAAGAGGCTAAATTATCGCCAGTTCTCAATTTATCAGTTTACACAAAACCAGCCAAATTGAGCAAGGGTTAAGTCATAGAAAAAAAAGAAAATTGTTACAGGTGTGTGCTTCTTCTTCTTCTTCGAAAGTCAAGTCTGGAGCAGACATTGATGATCATGGTACCCCAGTCCTTCCTGTTGTCTGTGATGTGTGCTTACTGTAAAAAAAAAAAAAAGTACCCCCCCAAAAAACCTATGTACGATTTCCAGCAACTTTCCCTCTGATTTAAACCCTTTTTCAAAAAGTATGCAAATAAGGCACAAAACTAAATGCATGCTTCAATTTTAGTTGAATACACATTTTAAAAGAATAACCGATAATAATTAATTACTGGCTTAGTGAAATGGAAATCTCTCTGGGCCGTTGATAGGCATAGAGGTAAAGGTCACTTTGATTTTCCCTTACTTTCAACCCTCATCACATTTAGTAGGAGAGTATTAAAAAAGCAAAAATACTATTGTTTCAACGTACAACATATTTTTTAAATCAGCTTCATCACAAATTAACAAAAGGTAGAAAATGCATTGTACTTGAAAATAAAGGAGTAAGAATGCATTCCAGTTACTTTTATACTCAACAATTTCACTACAAGTTCAGTCTTTAAAAAAAAGAAAAAACACAAAATGTGAAACATTACGGAAACAGAGTCACGAATGTACCCATCTGTAAATGCATATTATTGATGCATTATGCATAGAAAAACAAGAAATACAAAATCATTCCATTAGAACTCGTGTCTTTGAATTACACACAGAATGTACCGACAAAAGCAGAGAAGTTTTCAATTCTTCATGGTACTCATGAAAATAAATGTAATAACATAATGTATGTATATTGCAAAATTGAAACATACATCTGTATTTCTCATGCATTACTTAGCAGAAATAAGACCATCAATGTCAGTGGGGCAGTGTTAAATTCAGCTGACATGAACAAAAATAATTTACTGACAACTTTTGACATTGAAAAAGCTCAAAAGCTCCAAAAAGACTAAAATAAAACCTTTGAATATTTATACAAAAGTTGTATATAAATGAAAGCCTGTTACAAGTTTGCCTACAAAAATTATCTTCCCTAGGTCAAATTATTCAAAATATATGACCAGCACACAGAGAATAGGGCCCTATGTCAAATGACCAGAAAACCCACTGAGACTGCTATTATATCTGGCCTGCGGTGTTTACAATTTTATTATTTAACTAGATGACAATATGAAAGCAAAAAGATGCCAGATGCAAGCTTGTTCTAACAAAATGTAGCCGAACGTAGTGCTTCAAGTCAGAGTTCTTTTTCTTGGTTTATGTTTCTATGGAAGATAAAGAGGATTTAAAATGTTTTTAAAAAATTCCCTGTGTTTCTACATTTATTTTGGGTTGCTAAAAATGAATTTTAAATTTTGACCCCCCCCCCCCCCAACTCCCCACCCCTGCTGATACAATTTAGTTCATCTAGGAGGTGGGCTTCTGACCCAACACAGGCTGAGAGGGACACAACATTCCCGCAGAAAGGCTGAGATACTCAATAAAAATTGTTTCGCCACTTATTGGGAATTGAACTCAGGTTCTTGTGTGCAACAGCAAAGTGCCTAATTGCTACACCACAGACACTGGTATCTACTACATGTAATGAAAAGGAACCCACTCCATGATACTCTGTCCTAAGCTGTAGAACCAGACAAAGAGCTTGCAGTCTCCATGCATCAAAGAGAAAAACAGTCAATGTAAATGTTATACTTCTAACAAATTTTATTTTTCTGATATTTAAAAAAGACTCAGACAAAAGCCCTATATATATATAAATTCTCTCAGCCATATATAAATTCTCCGGTAGAAACAAGATCAAGAAACCATAATGCTGCTCTTCACATATTGTATCTTTGGTACATTTGTCATTAAAACAATATTTTTAAACATATATAATATATATATATATATATCAGCATTTGTCAGTGTCACAGTCTCACCTTTATGTTTATCCTCAACATACTTGCATTTCTTATAGAAAAAACAAATTGCTGAGGCACAATACAATAATTCGGATAAGTTATATTACAAAATAAGCACTTTTTGAGACAATCCTTGATTTTTGGGTGCACAAAAAGTCCAATCTGTATTTTCCTGCTGCACTCTGCTACAGTATGGGTTGCCTTGCTTTTTTCCTCGGGTTGTTTTAAACCTGCACACTGTTTAAGAGATGGTACATCAGTTTAACTTCCATCTCTAATAGGATTAAGCTATATAATGAGGGGTTGTTTAAGGAGTTTTCAAGGTTCACCTTAATCTAGGCCTGGGTGGTGTAGTCTTTATTAGAGATGTGTTTCATGCCCCAACTATAGTTAAGATCATTTGGTTGGAGGGGGCTGTTTCAAACCCCTGTCAGGGCCAACTTGGGTTTGTATGAAAAGTACAACATCCTAGCGGAATGACGAAGATAAAAAACCAAAACTCCCTCACAGGGGAAATCAACCTCACGTCATGTGGGTGCTGTGGTGAAGCGCCTACCCACTAGACCTGAATTACTACAGGTTGTTTTCACAGCTCCCCACCTAGCCTATTTGGAGTAGTCCTATTAGAGATGGGAGTTACACTGAAGTACCTTCTCCTAAACAGCCTTTAAGTGTTAAAATAAGTTACGGTATAAAACTTCATAGGCCTATATACTCCCTGATTATAATCAGTTCTCGAAACAGAATTGACAGGAATAAAATTTCATCGAAAGAGTTGACGTCTCAAAAATGGTAGAATACCAATATAATACCAATATAATACCAATATAATACCAATATAATACCAATATAAAAACTTGAAAAGAAAACAACCTAAAGAGCAGATGGCATTTTTCTCCAATTTCCACAGAATAGAGAGGAGTATGAAAGTGTACATGAATCTAAACTTTGTTTCGTACACCTAGCAAAGCAGTATTCCTCTTTTCTCTTTAATTTTAAAGACAGTGGACACATGTGTCAAATCAGCAGCAGATCAAATGTAACATTGAGGCACATTTTGAACAATTATGCACAAATCATGAGAAACGTGAATTTTCATATTTCAAAGTATGCTTAGTAGTAGTTTACCTGCCTTTTAAGGATTCAATAAAGAAAATAGAATTGAAAAATCGGTATGAATAATTAAGTTATACTCCTGGGACAGCTTGTCTCCTAGCATTTTTGAATGACTAGGATGTATGCCCGCAATGAGTCAATCCTCTGAGCCCCTGCCACCTGCCCACCGGTGGCACGTAAAACTGCCCAGCCATATGCCTAGCCACCAGTACAGCGGTGAGGAGGACCCCATCCTCAACCCCGCCCGCCTGAAACAAATCGTGTACAGCGTTTACTGCACAAGACATTATTAATTATTTTGAAGATCTGTCTGAATTAGATGCAGGTAATGACAAGGACTACCTGGAGTGGGATGGAATGTGATTCTGGCGATCATATAAATGTGAGTAATGAATCACTCAGTAGCTCAGGTAGAGGAGCACGGAGGCCTAAGGATTTCAGAGCTCAAAGGGTTAAACCTTTGAAACAACAACATTCACAGTGCATTAGAACAGGTCGGTCACTTTAGGTATGAAGACACAAGCAAACTTAAGTCAATCATGGACATGGACAAGACTGATGAATCAAGTGCACCAGTATCAAAAAACTCTTTCAGACCAGCTGAAATATTAATCAATGTGCATACTGCATATACAACATTTTAAAAGTTAAGACTGTACAATAATCAATATACTGAACTTTAAAATTATTGCAAAGAGCATGGAGTTCAATGCCAGCTTGAATGTATGCCTTTGCAATTTTATCCATGTAACTTTAAAGCAAATGCAGATCACAAGGATTGACATATTAACAATATATACAACAACAACAACTGCCCCCCCAAACCGCCAATAGGCTTCTCCTTTTCAACCTGAAGTTAATAATTAACTTCTGTTAAAACTTGATACTGATTCAACAAATTTTTCCTCAGCAAGGTGAATATAGAGCTATCATGTTTACACAAGCTACAACATAACTGGCCCTATTGTCATAACACAGAGATAAAAAAAAGCTGTCTATAAAAAACATCAAGGTGGCAATCCTCTCGACGGTCTATTGTGACATTTGTATTCTTCTTGGTGGTCTACCACTGGACCAGACTGATACTTATTCCAATTGGTGGTCTACTCATATATTACACTAACTTTAACCCTAACTCTAACCTAATAACAGATTAGGGTTAGGGTTGGTGATTTTAGTAGACTAGTAGACTGTCCAGTGGAATAGTTGTCAGACTGCTCTGTAAAAAAAAATTCTATTATAAGGAACAGACAACACAAACTTTTAGCAACTGGACACATCCAAACATTAAATTACCCTCCCCCCCCCCCAACCAAACAAAAAACCCAAAACAAAACAAAACAAAACAAAACAAAATCATTGACAACCAACGTGGAAAACACATTTGATTCTTGAAAACAAATTTTTCCTGACAGTCCACTTGAGAGAAAAAAAACCAACACAAAATGCCTGTATTTATACCCACTGTATGGCACTGGGCAGAAGTGCTGAAGCTGCTGGATGTGTACAACAATAACACATTAAAAATAAAAACATCAAATGCAATAGCTTATTCTTTTCACCTCAAAGTGCAAAACAGCATGTTTGAGGAAACACTGGCATGAGCTAAAGGTCATCTGAAGCTGAAGATGATTGAAAATTTGCACTATTTGAAACAGATGTATATTTTCTCTGTGAATTTGAACAATATTAGGCTACATATAGTTATAATACACAGTTTGAAAATTTGAATAATGCATATATATTTTATTTTCAATCACGGCGAGTTACACAAGTGAAGAAGTGGGTAAATATTAAGGTTTTCTCCTAATACAGAGAAAGCCACTCCAGCTGACAAGGAGGCCTGATCCTAGGTACCTAACCCTTTTTTCTCTCTATTTGTCTTTTGCTCCTACAGACAAGAAGATGATCTAGGTTCATACCCAGCTGGGAGCAGGATTTTCTTAGTTTTTAAGTCTTTTTTCAAATACAGTTGAATCTGCTCTAATGGCTGCCTGTCCAACAATGACCTGTACAAATGACCACTTCTCAATCATCCCCTTGAGTTTTGTTTTTTTTACAATATGATGACACTGTCCCATATGTCCAAGGCGAACACTTTTTTCTTTGACAATGGGTGACCATCATGGACAGCTTCGACAGTATTTTCCGTCTCAACCTGGTGTCCTCACAATTGAGATTGTTGTGCTTCATCTTCAAGCCGACAAAAGTCCAGTTCCATAAGACGTTAGAACTCATCTTAATCTGTATAGTCACTATAGACTTTCTCAACTTTAACATACCAGTGACAAGACAAGACCTGGATAATACCTGGTTTTTTTTAGTGCCTTTGAACAGCTAAATGGGTGGCAAATCATGATCATATGCATCCGTTTCTTCACTTGTGGAAGAATGTTGGGAGACATGGTGAATCCATTGCACTTTTCTCTTTTTCTTACTGTTCCCTTGGACATGCCCAGTAATGGATGCCACAGCGTGTCAAAGTTTCTCCCGCGTAACCTCTGCACACACAACGGTATTGGTAATGCTCTGAAACTTTCTTGCTCTCCAACTGGACAGATGTTGCTCCGTTGTAGGAACAATAGGCAAAAATGACAAATGTTTTCTGGGAAGAGAAAAGAAGACAAATTTAAAAGGTGAAAGTCAACTAGCTGCTGAATTGACAATGAAAACAACAGTAAAACTTCGGTGTTTGAAAGTCAAAGCTTCAGCACCAGAGCTTCTATTGCTCGTAAATATAAGAATCCATCAACATAATTACCATGCAACCACCACTCACACATCTGCAAATCTTTACACAGAGAAAAACATACAGATGATAATGATATCATAAGGCTATATTTAAAAACTTAATATGTTCTAATAAAGGATAATGGTATGGGGGTATGGGGGGGGGGGAAAGGAAGGGTCATGGTAACATTTTTGTAAATTTGCAGTACTCACATTTAAAATCTCTTCATTAGGATAATAGTCAGTGTCAGTGAAACGAGAGGATGACGAAGGTGCTGACTTGATGAATTGATGAAAGCTGCACAGCGAAAAATTTGCTACACCTGGCCTACCCTGTTGAAAAAAAGAGTTTGTCAATGAGTATTCAATATTCATTTCTTCAACGCAAGAGATATTGTCTTTTGTTCAACGTGATTCTAAGACTACTTCACACACTTTTGTGTTTTCATCAAATTATGTTGGAAAAACATCACTTAAGTACACAAACCATATAACATAATTTTCGTTTAAAATTGTTTGGTTTCCAAATATGTGAACATAGGGGAAAACATTTTTGTACTCTTACTTGACAGATAGATAAGTATGTACAGAACAATAATTTCTCTCAAAGCAAAAAATAGTGACACCTGCCTGATAGTTTAAAAAAACAGAGGAAATGAGACCTGCCTGAACACTGATAGTAAAAAGCAAACAAATCAAAACGGGCAGAGCCATGATAGCAGGAACAAAGTCACATTGATAGCAAAATTGATTAGCAGCTACAGATACTGGTTCTAAATCTTCAGAGTCACAGTTCAAGTTTTTACAAATCCTGTAAAACTGCCATTAATGATTAACATATGGCTCTTAATTAGTCTTAACCATTTAACTATCCTGACAATACAGGCTGCTGTGCTTGATCTGGACAGGTGACCAATACATTATCAAGTCCACAACCACAAGATTAAACATACTCTGACAAATTATTGTATTAGAGACAACAGACGAAGATTAAGAAAACAAACCAATGGGAAAGGTATCCTATTGCCATCACACAAATGTCAACCTACCTGTGGTCCAGGTTTAAGAGAGATCTCAGCTATCTGTGTCTCTAATCTTGTTTCCACAGAGTGAAGAGTGCTGCTGAAGTTGTCTTGCTTGGACACAAGATAGGACACATCCTGCTCCAATGGCTGGAAATATGATAGAAAGTGGAGTTATAATAATGTCAGCAAGTATAATATATCTTGATGACACATGTGCTTTGTATGATTAGTCCCCTTCAACTGCTCAAACTGAGGGCAACCCTATTTGCTTGTTGTAGTACTCTGTTATAGTATCCAGTATCTTGAATATAAAAAGGGAGAAACTTGCCAATTTGAGAAAAACAAAGTAAAAATTTTCAATGACTTGAACAATAGAACAATATTCTCTATAAGAAATTCCCATGGATTTATTTTGTGCAATGAAATCTATAAGAAAATTACAATGAAAATCACTTCATGCAGTCACCATTTAACACCTTTCATGTTTCTACAGACTGTAATTTAATTAAAATCATTAGTAGGCCTATTGTAGACACAATACTTGGATGAACCAAACTCAAGACAAACTAACAAAATTACATTTGACACTGTGCTTGTCTCCCATCAAAATAATAACACGCTACATATAAATCGCAAAGGCAACACCAACAGAAAAATGTTGCATGGATACAACTCATAGCCATCAGCTGTGTGTGACTCCGGGAAAATGTATCTGAAGATGAACATTTATAATGACTGACTTCTTTGAATTAAGTAATATTCATGCATGCGATATCCATCCCCAGCTGTAAGAAGTTTCGGACTGAGCAAAATTTGGCAGTCATTTTTTTTTTGTCTTCCATAAAAACTAAAAATTTATTCACCCTATAATCCGAGTACCTCTTAAAATTAAGATGTACTCAAGATTTATCTTTCTGTATTTCATAAAAACTTCATTTGAGACAAAATGAAGTTCTAGATTTCTTTTAAAAGATATCTTAAAATAACTTGCCTAACCTTCCTGCAGGTTTTCAAAGAGCCACACACAATATTTAAAGTAGCCTATTTGAAGTACCTAAAACAAAGCCCCTATGGGGCATTTTAAACTTCGGTTCTTTGGGGGAAATTTTAAGGCAAACCCCTGCCCCCTCCCCTATCCATTTTGGATTAGTCCTATTGGACATTCAATTCAGAGGCCCCTACCTCTTAAAAAAATTTTCAGTAGAGCTTTTACGGCGCTGGCAACTGCATAACGTCATATGAGAGCCAAAGGGTGGATGTCAACAGAAAAGTCCATATAGGGAGTCAGGCTTACTCTGCTCACCTCTCTTACTTCAACAGCACAGTCTGCTTCAACTATCAAGGCACCCCGGAAATATCAGGACACATGAGTGTGACAAACACATACAAAAGAAGTAGAGGTAAATGACGATAGTAAGGATTTGGAAAGAAAAAGCAGTGGTTCCTCCTTGCAGTTCAGGCACAATGAGCATGACACTGGTGAATCAGCCCATTTACAATTCTACTGAGCATAAGAACATGTTATGTAATGGCCTAAAGACCCTTCAGTCAGTAGCACCGCCCCGGGGGGGTGCCCCACCTTTTAAATAGCTTTACAAAGTTGAAAGGGATGTTAAACCTATGCAGTGGCCTACACAATGACTAAAATAAAAACTGCAAGCACACCAGTCCCCTTGTTATAGATTTACAAACATTTCTTGGGAAAGGTAAAATGCACTTATGTTGACGATCATAATGTTCTGTTTTCTCAAGTCTAATTAAGATCGAAGCATGATAAGCAGATTGCATTCTTCTCAAAATGTTTCCCTCTATTGTTCTCACCTGAATTTTAAGGCTCAAGTTTAATTTGTGATCTCTTACAAGTTCTCTGAGTTCATAGTTCTGAAACAGAAGGAAAATACATACAAAATACACATGAAAGACATGGAAATGAACTGAATTTATGAATGCATATTATATTTTTTCAAGTTTTAGTTTTAGTGTTTTAGTAAGAGTTTTACAGTACTAGCAACATAAATACATCATATAAGAGCTGAAGATTAGAGGTGTTTCTAGAGAGTAACATACAAAGAAAAGAAGGAGGAGAGAAAAGGATGATAGATGTTTGATAAGAAAGAAGGAGAAAAACCACTTAAGAGTGCCCACCAACCCTTCACCTTTTCGGATTCATTGCTTTTAAGACAATTCAAGATAAAGAACATAAAAAAGAAAAGGGTGTGCAACAGCACAAAGTTAAGTTTAGTTGGTAGGATACATTGGGCAAGCAGTCCCTGTTGCATCACATATATATCTTGAATGTGTTGAAAGGAGCATATAACTCAGACTTGGACAAAAAGGCATACCTCAGCTTTGAGCAAATTGATTTCTTCCTTGAGCTGTTGAAGAGTGTTGTCGCTGCTGACGGAAGGTATTGATGATGTGCTGAATGTGGAGGGTAGGGCTCTCGCTTCATTTCCGTTTTGATCTGAGAATACAATAAAAGAACGCAATTCCAAAAACCAGGTAAACATTTTTCAAAGATGTCATGTTGCTCCTGATTAATTTCATAACTTAGCTGGTTCAGTCACTGAAACATAAAATTCTGCAGGCAAACGAAAACATAAAATATGCTCATGAAATTAATTTGCGATGTACCTGGCATGTCAAATGTGTAATTTTTGGTTTTGTGGAGGGAGGAAGTAGGCTAAATTTGCTGTTCTGGTTGCTCACATGTATGTCATGTTAATCATTTTGTTATTATTCTTCAGTATAGACATTTAGCCGCACATACTACGTGAATTTGTATTCAGAACTGCATAATCACCCAATAGACTTTAAAAAAGGCAGCAAATATCACTTTTTGATTAAGATTTGCAAGTTGTTTGAAATTATGAGTAAGATGGGGAATATAAGGAATGAGGAAAGTGGGGAAAGTGACAGTATCGAAGACCCAGGGTGTGAACATGTCATTAGTGGGCCAGATATGATAGCAAGTCCACAGACACTGAGACGACAAGACTGTTTTCCTGGCAAATAAGCTTAGCAGAAAATCAGTTCTGACAGTAGGAATGCACACCCTCTAACAACGAAGGGGTTTAAGTTTAAAGTTGAGCAATCATCTATACTTACTGTTCAACAGTAAATAAATGCTGATACCCAAAGCTGCCATGGAAATGCAGAAAAGGATGAGAAGGGCAAAAGCAAGACAGCAACATGCTCCACGCCCGGGGGATGAGGACGTCCCAAGTGGGACTGGCTTGTGTCCTTCCAAGGGTGAGTACAGGTGAGACTCAGATGGAGAGTAGACCTCACGATTTGAGGTTTGCTGACCCCTTGTTGGACATGATACCATCCTGTAAGAAAGTAAATTGTTTGACTAAAATAATTATGTGTTACTCAAACAATCTTCACGCACAGTATTTTCTAGGAATGAACATAACCAAGCTACAAGTGTAAGTCACTCATTAACAGCCACAAACTGTACATAAAGAAGCCAATTCCAATATATACTGCTACCAAGATTTTACTGTCTTATCAGTGCAGAGCGAGAACTGCTCTGGAGATTATGACTGGGGCTCCAAGAATGAATTGTGGAAGAGAATCATTCATAACATTGCTTGAAAAGAAAATTGCTCTGAAATATTTAGAAAAGCAACTTGTCACTTTCATTGATATCCACTTTTATGCACTTGAAGATAAAAACTTAGGGATAAATTTTGTGTTAATGGAAGAAAAAGAAATGTTATGAAATGTCATGAGCTAGTCATATTTTTATTATAATCAATGAAGGAATAACCTTATGGTTAATAATTGAGTTAAAATTATGAAATCTTTAAAGAAAAAGTTATGGTGCAAATGCAGAACGATTAATCATCTGTATTAACATACTCAGCAATGGAGGCAGGTTGAATATGATCCCCATCTTCACTGTCAGAGTGTGTGATTCCTGCAATATTCACTTGTGGAAGTCTCAGCAACTCATTTGGAGTTCGGAAGTCATTGCTCAAAGCAGTTTTGTCTGTGCTACTTCTGAAAGATCAACATAAAATTAATTATTATTTATCCATATTTACTCATATCATATAAAAGCAAATACATATCGCGTTTATCTCATTTCAGCAGCCACAATTTATGTTTAAAAATCTGATATAGTTTTTTCAATTTCTAAGACTGTGCCATATGTGCCAAGTATGTACATCAGAAGAATCATTACTAGTGTCCATGGTTCAGCTATTTTATAACAGTTTCATTGTCACATCACCACACCTGAGTTCAGTTCTCATGTCAGGCAAATTTGTAACAAGTATCTCAGTCTTTCTGAAGGGACTTAGAATCTCTTTCACCTTTTGGTTGGTCCAAACTGGAAGGATCAAAGCCTGCCTCTTAAATGATTTAAGTTGTGCAGATGGGGGCATAAAAAAACCCCACATTAAAATTTAAAAAATCATTACTTCAAATATTAACTAAGTACATGTATTTATTTATAATTGAAAGGCAACCCTTTTCAGAGGTGCTATTATACCCCCCCACCCCCCCCACCCCCACCCCCCCACCCCACCCCCACCCCCCGCGCGCGCGCGCTCCCAACACTTGACCGCTGACCAATTAAATTTTTTAAAAAATTCTATCATTTTAAAATAACTTCTTCCAAATTTCAAACTTAAGAATTACAAAGAAAAAAATTAAGTTTTAAATAAATGATACTAAGAAATGGTGATGTTATAGTGAAGAGCTGCTTACATGGACTTAACATGGTTGAGATAGGTTACAATACTATATATATATGTTACGTATGTCAAATAATTGGAATAAATTAGAGGATGAAAACATAAAAGGGCAGGTTGGTTTGGTTGAGCCCTTCGGGGAGGGAGGTTGAACCTCTTAACCAACAGAATGCAATTTCAAAAGGATGATGAACCGACTCAATAAAACCCCAACAACTCTACCTTTGGATGGGTTTGTTATTTCCTCTGTACTGGTCTATGTCTTCGTAGTGCTGCTCATAGTGAGTGGACAGTCTTGGGTAAGAAGACGCAGAAGATGTGGCAGCGGGCATTGAGCTGGCCAGGCCGGTCTTGGAGCCTCTCAAAGAATCACAGTCCTCTACACCTGTAATTTGTGAGGTGAAATCAGGCGCTCGTCAAAATAATGAAATCGAAGAAACTGACAACTGAAGTTCAAGTTTTTACTAATATTTGGTATAGAATAAAAGGTTTAGATAAACGACAACAAATCGTTGTCTCGTGCAACTGTCTTAAAAATCAGAAATTATGCATCCTGATGTAAAATAAAACAAAGACATTAATCTTGAACTTTTTTTCTTAGATTACCCTCCAACAATTTAATAAGATAGAGAAAAGATAAGGAGGTGGCCTAGTACTAAGACTCTTGGACTCGCCACTTTCAACAAATTTTCCTCACTTCACCCAGGTGGGAATATGTAGGCCCTACCTGGCTATAGACAGCGAAAGTTAGCTATAGTTTGATCATGTGAAATCTGCAGCTTGCACTGTATACTTCCTGGGAAGCCGAGAATGGTTCTGAGCTGTGTTCTAAGGTCTGCTGGGATAATGATAGTTGTTGGGTGCACAGAGCAAGGAGAGCGTGAATATGCACTATGTAAATGCAATTATCATCGATCATTATAGTCAAAACTGTAGGATTTCTTACCTGAATCAAATCTTTGACTTCGTCTTCCTCTCATCTTCAGGTTATCTGAGAAGCCACTAGCCTCACTAGTCGGGCTTTGTGGATAATCATTCAGGGAAGAGAAACTGGATTCCATATAGAAAGGAGGGTCAGATGGAGTAAGGTATGGATCATGGTCATATGTCTCCCTTTCTTTCGTATCTTGATATGAAGTTGTTGTCGCAGTTGTGGGACCATGAAGCGCCTTATCATCATCAGGCATTGGGTTCATATTAACAGATGCCTTCTTCGTGAAAATAACAGGAACTTTCCGGTGAGCAGGTGGTGGCGGACAGCTTGGGTCATTGTTGTTGTTGTTGTTGTTGTGGTAATTGTGGAGGCTGAGGTTCCCACTTTTGATGGCGCCGTTTGGAACTCTGTCTGTGGAGTCTCCGTTGAAAGACATAGCGGGCGGCGAGCCACTTGGGATCAGAGGCAGGATGGGGCTGCTTGATAAATCTTGGAGGTTCGATGTTCTGAAGCTGTTTTTACTGCAGAGTAGAAGAACATGTAGTGAAGATTTTTCTAGTGATAATAATAATAGTAATAACAATAATAATAGCAACAGCAGGCCTAATAACAATAATAATAA